GCGGAGAGAAAGTGGCCGCGATGACGTACATGATTTTCGTCGCGCGAAAATAGCGCGTCTGACGATTTACGATTAGCGGGGCGCGTAGGATATTTATTGCGGCCGCCATCCGCAGAGATTATCCGGCCGACTGATGCGGAAATAACGACCGAATACGAAAGTTCGCGTTTTACGAACGGGCCATTACGTCCGCGGCTCGCCGTGCCGCGCCGCGCCGCGCCGTCCTCGCCTCGGCCGTAACGAGCGAGCGCGTTTACCCGCCTGGCTGCACGAGCGATTCCGCAAGCTAGACCTTGCAACTGCAAATGGCATACAATGCGCCGCTCGTTTTCACCGCGTGGACGTGGACTTGGACGTATCGCGCGCGGCTAAACGAGGCCCCACGCTTAATCTACGGATAGTCTCGCAATTTTTTAAGAAAGCCTCGAAGCGACAACGCGCGCTGTTTTGCAATTAACATGATACGTGACACCGCGCTTGTAACGCGCGATCTAATAACTTCTAAGAAACGAAGAAAACCTAACTAGAATACACATTATGCGAAAGAGCTAACGGATTCTGAATTTTATAATAATCGAATATATCGACGGCGTTAATAAATCACAAGTAGATGGTATCGCTCTACTTAAAAATAATAAAGAGGGAAAATAATTGAGTTAACGGAAAAATGTGCGTGCGCGAATATCTGCATAATACATATATCGGATTCGGAAACGTGCGAAATTCGTTCACTAACCTGGCTGCAGGACGATTGTCTCGGCGGAGACGTCGAATCGCGAGACGATAAATCTTCCTCGACGAGCGAGCCTCCTTTCGCTCGCGTTCAACGGCGACGTGTCCCTGCCGGCTGTTTTGTTTCCTTCTCTCGAGGAAGAGATCTCTCTTCGGGGCCGGGGGTACGCGCGATCACCATTCACCGAAAGAACGCTGAAAGAACGAGAGCGCGTATCGCATCGCGGTCTTGCGTGTCGCCTCGGTATTTCCTCAGTTCGATATTTCATCCGCCTTTCCCGTCCTTTCTCGTCCTTTTGACTCGGCGCGCGGCGTGACGAGCGTGACGGAAAGAGTATCTCGCGGCGAGGCACACCGCAAAGAGAGGCAGGAGCAGAGAGGCGGAGAGACGCTCACCACGGAGCAGCTAACGCTCACAACAGATCACAACAGACGCGACGTTGTTCCACGGCGAGTCTAATCGACGGGATGCCGGGATACCGTTTTAACGAACCTCCGCGAGCGCCTTAATAAGCGCTCGTGCAGGTAATTGACAATGACCTGCCAGTCGGCGTGCGCGACGTTATCGCTGTTCGATTCGATAGATAATAGAGGTGTCTTCGGAAGCGATTTGCCACTGTTTCATTCCTCCGAGCTCCGTCGCGATACGTGCCCGCGCCATTACTGCATTATTACGCGTCGATATTACGTTAAGCTCTTAATGATCTCTTAATTAATCCCACATAAATACATTCGCGAATAATCCTTTGTCCTTACGTAACTGCTGAAAACGCGCGACGATACGATTGAATGCGAATATCTTAAGTCCAGCGAAATATGTGACTCTTATTTGCGATAATTCTCTTTTGCACGGACAATTTGTAAAATTGAATGATGCAATCAGTTATTGTATATCGTTTACATATCCCATATACTCATCCGATGAAAATATCCTATTCCCAGATCCCAGCACTCCGCTTCTTAAAAGAAAATCGGCGCACTACTCCGATCGATTCTGTCCCCCAGTAAGTACCTCACGAAGGACACGCGTCGCGATCAACAGGACGCACTCGCACTCGCGCGGCGAATTCGTAAGCGCTCGATAAATTTTCGACAGACCTCAACCGCGCGACAACGATGACAGCCTTGTTATCTCAATCGATGCGAAACGTTATCGTGACGTCGACGACGACGACGTTGACGACGACGTTGACGACGAAGATAGCGCGCGACGTATCCGAGCGTGGCCGAAGCCTTGTTGTCGCGGTAAATGGCGCGGAAATCCAGGTTGCCGCGCATCGACGTGCGTCGACCTGAAGCCGCTCGCGGCCGATTCCACCTTCCTCGTCCCTGACCCGCTCAACCGGCGACCTCGATGAATCACGTCGGAAGCTGATCCCCCGGGCAGACAATCGACGAGAGTTCACACGCGGGGGAGCGAGATTTTTTGCTTCTCTCTCTCCCTCTCTCCCGCTTCACTTCACGATGACCTTCGACGCGTTCGACGAGCGAGGAGATTTTCTCGCTTCGATGAAACGCATACTAACAATAAGATGCAACCGTCGATGCACGATAACGCACCGCGTTCAGAGTTCCAAAGATAAAAGCCGAGCATCTATATATAAGTACACGTTTCGTGAATTTCTTGGAGGAACGTCCGAGTGGCGGCTAGATTTCTTCCACTTCACGTCTGGTTGACGTTGAAGAGGATACCGGACTGGTATCGATGTATAGCGTCGTACCACTTCGCTCCGTCGCCGTCGTGCGTCGATCGGTCCAAGCCCTATTTGCGCCAAGATACTTCGAATAGCTTCCCGAGCCGAGCGAGATGCAATCGCGATCGATGCGCTTGCCTCACTTGTGAAAATTGTAGATAATTCTCGGTGAAACGTGTCCTGTGTCTATTACGTATTACGTGAAGAACGAGCACGTCTAATCGAACCTCCGCGAGGAAGTTCGCGCGAGGAATTGGAAATTACCTCTTCCGCCTCGCGCGCGTTTCGACGACCTTCGAGGAACGTGAAGAGACTTTCGTTTGTAACGATCGCTATAGACTAGAGAGGACAATAATCACGGCGGATTCTGATATTGAATTTGAATCGTTTTAAAAGTGTCCTCCCTCTGCAGTCTGCAGTCGCGGAAATCGCTAAAGGCAGAAGATGGAAAAGGGCACCCGAGAGATTTCTTCCTATCGGGTCATACGTGGAGATGGGGATGGGGACGATTCTTTGAGGTTCGATTCTCCAAGATACTGAGAGTCCTGAGACCTCGCGCGCATGGCACGGGGGTCGATCGTACACTCGCGACGTTCATTCTCGAGTGATTCGCTCCGGAGGCTCTTCAATAACGAGGAAAATGGTCCCTGGATGAAGACGGAGAGTCTCAATGACGGGAGATTACCGACTACCGAGGACGGTGCAATGGATGCCCAGATACCTGGAGATACCGGACTGATTACCGCGGAGGTACATCGCTGGGATAACTCGGGAGATGAGATTCGATTATATGGCACACTCGCGTCACTCACGAACGTTCAATAATTCCCGGAATTAAAGCGCGCTTCTACGTGAAGAAGAATAAGTGCGGCGTAATGAACGCACGCGCGCGCGCCTCTCGTGCATGGATATATCTCGCTAATCGCGAACGGAATCGCGCGCACGTCGGCATCGGAGACATCAGCTGAACCTGAACGTTTGTTAGCACTTTCGTGCGAATTTCCAGTGGTGAGTCGCGCCGGAGGCACGACTGCGCAAAACCGAACGTGTCCAACGTGGCTATTATCTGCTTTCCCGCGCAATTTCCTTTGAGACGTAGACCTTGTTATCAACGGTGCACGGTGCACCCCAACTAATCGCGCACAATCCCGATTCGTGGCACTGTTCAACATTCACACATTTTATCCCACAGATAATTCATCCGCGAAATCGGATCGCGCTCGTAAACCACCACTCGCGACCGCGTCCAACGACTCCAACGATCTACCGCGGCTACCGGCTACCCGGTCGATCGATCGCCGATCGGCCGCGCATGTCCGCGAAAAGCGGAGTCGCCGGAGTCACGAAAATCGCCCGAGCATCCCCAGCGACTGGCGACTGGCGAGCGTCGCGCGTCGCGCGTCGCGCGGCCCGCGGCCGTTCGGGCCGTCGAATCGTCGATCGAGGCGCAAAATGCGGAAAAGACGGAAAACGCGAGGCGCGTTTAAAATTCAAATGGTGAACGACGTTGTCGTTGGATCCCGGATCTCGGTGCCTCGGTGCCTCGGTGCCGCTCACGGGCGCGCGCGGAATACGATAAAATACGAACCGAGCGCACACACGGCGCAGGTAAGAGCGGTTTTCGAACAACTACGTGCCGGTCGGAGTTGGAAGGCGGCGCGCCGTTTCTTTCTCCCCTGCATCGTGCATCGGCTCGCCGCTCGCCACCGCAGAGAGAGGGAAATGGCGAAATCATCATGGTAGGAGGTGGTGGTGCTGCTGCGAAATACGCGGGGGAAGGGATACGAGATACGAGCGAGGATCTATGATATATTCCCGTGGATCGAGATCGGCGAATCGGCTTATCGGCTATATCCTGTATTGTCCTATATCGCGACATCGAGAGAGAGGCCTCGAGACGAGAGCACCCTCCGATGTTTTTATCGGTTTTCCATCAACGTTGCCGTCAGCGACACTTCCACTATGTACGTGGAATTCTGCCATCTCACTTTTATGGGAATCTGTAAAACTCGGTCACCTTATTTCACACTTTAATCTAATTTAATAATTATCTCTATTCATCAAGCATAAAATGTATAATGTAACAAAAGATTATGACTCATATAAATCATTGCATTTAGTTATTTTAATTCTGAGCTCGTCATAATCTAACAATAAGTAAAACTTTTTAAGTAGCGCGATCGCAGTTTTCAACCAAAATATTTGGTTCAAGTAAAAAGATATCAGAATTATATGTATAAAATTAGAAATAGACAATTAGAAAAAAAGAAACGTTCTACAGGCAGCGTTCTGCGATGCGACTCAAGTTGCAATTTTACGCGTAGTGAGTCGACTAACCCCCGACTGTCAGTTGGTTCCTGTCTAAAGCAACAGGTGCTGGTCAACCGCTGCCATGTGGTAGCCGCACGAACGTGGAAGGCAGCATGCATTCCTTGCGTTTAATGCATTTCAGGTCACGATATTTTTCTGGATCGCAAAGGAGCCGTCATATCTTAAACTTTCGACCTAATGAGAGACATTCCCATATGCGTCTTGCATGGCGTAAAAAGGTGGTATAAATAAATTCCCCGCCGATTCCTTACCACGCCTTTACGTGTTCATATATTGTTTTGCTGGGAGGGATTTACATTAATAGGACTAATAACACCTATGCACGCAAGTCTACAAATGGTAATTTTTAAATATGCATTCGATATATAATATTTTACCATTTATATAGCGATCGGTAGACTTTTCTCTCCGCCCCTCTACGGTAGACGTACGGTAGACAGATTATACAAAACGTCGTGTCGTACAAAATAGTAGCAGTAGTATCACCTATCGATTTTGTTCCAACGGATGACCCGCTACGCACGTACAGTACCGATTGTATTCAGCGTTCATCGCGAAATACTTGCGCTCCACACTCTTCGAACGCGCGAGAATTCTAACAGAAACATATTCCCACGGCTAGAGAAATTAACGAGCTTTGTGGTCCTTTGCATCCTGAAAAGTGCCCTCGAAAAAGGCTTTTCGTTTCCTGACGAGTATATACCAAAGGATAATTAATTCAAAAATTCGATGTACCGCCTTTCTCGTTACTAAAAATATACCGTACGTAGTGGTTTGTTAATACAAAATAAAGCTCGGAACGTAAAGATACTCGATTCTACGTGCAAAATCGTAACACAGGCGTAAAGCGATACAAATGCATTTCTTCTAAAATGTATTATAGAAATTAGAAAAAAAATGAGACGAAAGATTACATACACTTTGTTTTAAAAAAATATTTTACAAGTTCCAGAAATATATTTCAAGAATGTCTGAAAAAATGACTTGAAGATAAGATTAGTGCGCCCCTTAGAGATACAATAATTTTCTTTTCATGGCATCTTTTAAATGTCTGTTATCTTCTCGCACTATATTAACAGAGAATAACTTATTTTTAAATCTTCTCTGCCGTATTTCTTTGTTGTATTTCGCGAAATGTGTATATATACCTTAAAGAATTTTGCTCAAGCATGTTTTTGTACTATTAAATTGTACCGTAAAGTAAACCGTTAATAAATTAATAAATAAGCATGATAGATGAATCTCGATGTGTGGGGTAGGATTGCAACGAACGAACGAAACTGAAAAGACGGGAGACATTGTACTATGATTCAAGTTTTATTAAACAAATTAAATACAAAAGATTTTCTGTTGCTTCCTGTCCGCGTTATATAGACGAATATATCTCGAGGTTATAAATAATTAAAACAACAGAACGAGGCATGGTATAAATAAAATAAAGAAAGAGACGGTGAGCGGAAGAAAATGCGACCCGTCTTAACTTCCATTTCACGAACGGTAAACATTCTCGCGTGTTCGCATTGTAATAGTTTTCTATCGAGTTTTATTAAAAGAAAAGAGCAAGAGCTAACTATAAGACGTCCAGGCTCCTTTACTTTGACTAAATTTATGTCGCTACCAAAAAGTTACATGGTTTCACTGGAAAAACATGAAATTGGATTTTCCACCGAGAATTCTGCGTTCCAACTTTTATCGCAAATAGTTTATAGATATATGATTGTGTATAAAAATTTCCTATTTCTTGCAAAAATTTCTTGCATAAAAGAATTGTTAAAAACATGTCAATATCGTAATTATAATAAGCAAAACAGTATTCTCAACATCCAGAATTCTCGATAAAAATTCATTGATTCTTCTCGAGAGTCATAAATGCGCATGGAATGACATAGAGCCTAGTACGCCTAAAATGCAAAATATGACGAGAGAAAGAACAAAGATAAAAATGGATTTGTTCGCGTCAGAAAGAAAAGAAAATAATTTAATTCTTGACGCTGCATTACCAAGAATTCTTAATTATCGGTAAATACGTTTAAAAATTTTTTCGAGAACGTTGGATATTAATATTTAAAAGTTGTTAGGATATGTACAAAGAGATATAATATATGAATATGAAGGTGTGTGTAAATATATTGAATTCCTGTCCCAAAAGACCGAGCTGGATCACATATTCCTTCCCGATCTTTCGGGATCACTGGACACTACATCGAAGAGTAACACAGTCTTTGTGGATTTCGAGATTGGTCTTTTAATGAAAAGAAGAAAAATTATTAAGAAAAGGAAAATAAGTAAGCTAATATTAGTAATAATATTTAACAGCAGTTTGTTAAACAAGGGCTTTGTGCTTTTATTTTTTTGGGGGGGGGGGGAGAGAGTGATCAGAAGAGAAAGGCATCTGTCGACAGACGTAAACACGGTAAAATAAAGTTTGGAATGTAATTAATGGTAGAGATCCGAGTATCCAAAAAAGCACTGTGTTGACTCTCGATACTCTCTCTTTTTATCTTCCTTTCTCACATACACATTCACACTCTTTCGCATTTTCTCTTATACTCTTATAACTCTTTCGTGCGTTTTTTCGACTTCCGCATACTTGGCAATCGCAAAAACGGTGCCCAGGTAATTAGGCCCTCTTTGCTAACGCATCGATACATATCGTGCACGTGAATTACAGTTTCTTTATAATACTTGTAAAAGGACTCGAGTCTCATGTAAGTAGACAAGAGCGTTTGTGTACGTGTGTACATGTGTGTGTATATATAATATACATGGATAAATCTACTATAATAAAGCCAACCGCTTCTCTCGTACCGACATGTAAAGTAGCGCAAAATTTTATTTCTTCTTTTTGTCTTTGTCCTCGAATTCTACGAGAGATACGATCTGAAGAAGTTTCTTTCGCATGTTGCGGATTATATCCGTAAAATTAAACAAGTAACCCTGATATTCATAAAATAACAAAGAATATAAACCCGATGATGAAGTATCGAACTAAAGATTGAGATTAGAAAAATAATAATTTATTTGCAAATTAAAATTCGAAAATGCGTTCCGTAAAAATAAATGGATCCACGTATAGCTTAAAAAGATTGCGCTGTTGTGAAAAACAATTATCTCGATCGTAGCCTTCGAGAAATTCTTTTTCTTTTGTACTTGATTACGTCATTAAAATTCAGCGAAAGCGTAAAAGTACATCAATTTCCTTGTAAAATTTGAATCGTCTGTACCAGAGCCAGATTGGCAATAGAAATCTTTTAAAAGGAAGGCGCTTAAAATGGAAATAAACCATTTCGAATAACGTGTAAACGAAATCTAAAACGATTACGAAACGTTTCCACTCTTTTACCGATAAAGAAACGAATCCTTTTAGTTCTTAAATATGTAATGCTGACGAAACTATTGTGTTAAACACAAAAGCTAACCGGACTATTCTAAACAATGAATCTTTGTCTCATCTCTCATCAGTGTAATCCCTCTGCTCCTCTTTCCTAAATACTATAACACTACGCTATTTACACCAACTTATGCTATTATGGGACACTAAATAACCTATCAAGTATATATATTACAGGACACGCCGTCATATTCGTACTTTCTCTGGCGACACGCAGTATATATAACATCTTTGGACTTGGTTTTATTACACATTTATATAGAATATTACGATCGCGTTTTCTCTCCTTCTCTCATTTAATTCGCTTCTCGCCATCTCGTGAAAGCCCATGAGGGCTTACTCGAGAATGAGAAGCGTTCTTTCAGTCTAATAAAAGAAAAATACTCTCCCTATCGTTTTCTCCTGCTTACCGACATTTGCCAGTTATTTGTCGCTTTCCACGGTATGTTGTACAAATATTTTAACGCTTGAGATTCTCGGTAATTCCTTCAGGTTCGTCGCGGGGACCCTTGGAAGACAAGCGTTCTGTTTAAATAAGAATAAACGCTTTTTCTTGCAGTCAACTCCTAAGTTGGTTCCACCAACGCGAAAAATTGGCCCACGTCTCAAGAGAATGTCGTAACATAATGGCCAAAAGCCATCGAATTAGGATGCTACGATTACAAATGCAAAACGACATTCATCGTTATAGGAAGAAAGTTCGCGAGCGTCGTCGATCTCCCCTGCATTCTCTTTTCGTTTAACGGCTCGCGTATGGTATCATCCGGAAACGATTTCTCCTTTGACCGTGTAAAAGAAACAGTATATGAGGAAATTAACTAAAACGGTAATCGAAACTCGGTGAAACTCGTGGACCACTTAAACCGCCGACACTTGAGCGTCTTCGTCATCTGCAACAATTTAAAACACATTTTAGTAAATAAGTCATTGAAATGCCAAATTTAATTGGAATACAAGAGACTCTAATTTGGATCAATACAATTTAACGCATGCAGTTCTGCCCGATTTAATAATATCAGTTCAAATCGAAGAACAAATTTATCGTAAAACTATTTAAATATATGACATGGAAAATAAATATAAATTGTATATATAAATTGCTTTACATACATATGTATATAAAGCATTTTCTACATAAAATTTATATTTATTTTCGATATCTTTCTATATCTACGTATTAGAGTCTCTCGCTAATGCAATGCTTATAAACAGACGTATTGCATTTATTTCTAAAATTCTAAATCTAATTATTTTAAAGTAGCTCAATTCAAGAGAAATGAACAATTAATGTAAACAAAAAAAAAAGAGTAAAACGTGCGACATGGACAAGCAGCAAATCATGCCTCGGCATCACGCAAAAAGTAAACAAATCGCAAAATATATTATAACGTCTCAATGCAAAATTCAATGATGATAGGCAAGCTAGTGCGTTATGCAATGATCACTAACATAAATATTGACATAATGCAAATATGATTACGCATCACGAAATTATGTGACCATGAGTGTGCTACATGACAATCACATTGATTAAACACAAACTTTATAAACATATTGTACAGGCATTTCGTTCACTTTACAAGTAAATATAGTATTTATTTACACTGTGTACTAATAACCACATAATATCCATTAATTAACGCTAATATTGTCACCGTGTTTATAATTACATTGAATATTGAGGTCAAGATTGTGTTCACCATTATGTTCAAGATTTTGTTTCAATTATGTCATACATAAAATCTTGTTTAAAAGTAGAAAAGATTATTCAGAAAAAATTTTAACAAAAGCTTGCAAACATTTCTTAAACAAGTATACCATATATAAAAAGAAAAGAAGGTAGTTTAAACATATCGTTTAAATATATTAATATGTTTAAATAAATACACAAAAATTGAAAATGCATAGCATCAAGATAATAATCATTTTTCACAGCACGCACGATGAAAAATTTTGAACAAGAAAAATTAATGAAAACATTGCAAATTGATGGTCGTAAGAGTACAATTTTTACAAAAGCTATTCCGACAGTAGTGAACTGACAGAGTGCTTTTGCCAACAAATCAGCACTCCTCGCTGTGCGTGAATATTGACAACGAGAACGTAAAGAAAGATGTGCTCGCCTCAACGAGCGTAAATCGAATAAATGTGTATATGAGGGTGAGTGTGAACCGTGTGTGAACGGTAGAGCGATTTGGCTAGATGTAGTACCATCTTCGTGATCGGTGCCTCGATAGGTGACCCCTTCGTGGCTGTTAGCACGACCGAGTCTGTGCAATCTCGCCATCTGCTGCACGACTTTGTACGCCGGTGGTTGACGGCATTGTGGTGTGCTACTCATGCCTGATCGCATCGACGATGTCATATTGCCCGCCATAGCACCCATCGTCGTCATTATGGTCGTAGTCCCCGCTCCGGGTGGTGGCAGCGGGGCTGGCATCCCTAGGCCCATGTTTACTCCTAATCCCGTAGTACCTGAAAACCCTCAACTTTCTCGATCTCTCTTTCTCTTCGTTTCGACCCGCCTCTTTTCTCGCCTTCTTACACATCCTCCACCTCGTCGATAAAGCAATTCGCCTGCCACCGCGGATGCAACGAATTTGTAAACGAGCGAGAATGTTAGGAGTATCGAGCACAAACTTATTTCCACGTATACTTACAGATTTTAATTAACAGATGCATCAAAAACCCGAATATCTTATATACATAAGATATTAAATACATTGTAATTCTTGCAAAAATAATGATATTCAAAAAATATATTAATTTAAAATTAAATTCTTATTTTTATAGCATTCTATATTTAGTTCATTCTCTACGCATTTATAATTTGCACTTTTGCAACACAATATTCATTATTGTTACCATCTCTTTTGTCAATATTCAATATGCCTAAAACTATATTAATTGAAATTTTGCTTTCGTCTTTTTCATCCTTTAAAAATAGCATAAAAAAGTTACAGCATTCAACTAATTATTAAGAGAAATAAAAGATAGTCGCGCTCGCTTACAGCCGAGATCCACGAGAAGTAACCACGAGTTTAATGGTAACCGCAAAAGACATTCATCGCTATCCACCATACAACCTGCCCAAGAGAAAAGAAGCCAACAGATATGCCGTTTTACATAGTCAATACCCTGAAAAGAACGCAATTATCTCCGCTAATACTACGATATACTCAAATACGCAAATGGAACAAGCTCGATGTAAACGCGTTGCGCTTCTAGGTCACATCAGAAACGAACGGTAATGCAACATTTGTCACCAGCGTGCGGACCAACAGATTCGTTCAATAACAGTTACACACACAGTAACGCATCAGAGACCAAACACGCAAGACGTCGCTTTTCCTCGAGGAAGGCAATCTCTGTCAAGTTCAGACAAAGCTCAAGCTGTAAAGACATTGAAGGCCAACAAGATTACTTTTTACCAGTCACATGTTGTTTTGCATGCATGAGCCATACTGTTTGCATCCTCAAAATAATATACCCCCCCTCGAGGCAGCAGGGACAGCAAAATCAATGCAATGAGTATTATGCAGATCAAACAAACGAAACAGGCAGACAGTCGCGAACTCACCTTGAGGAGTTGGGGGTTGGTGATGAAGATGATGATGATCGTGATAATGTTGGTGGTGGTGATGATGGTGATGATGATTGTGGTTGTGATTCTGATTGGCAGGAAGCGGAGGTAACACTGCTACCGCGTGAGGAAACGGGGGTGCTCCGCCTCTTATAACAGACCCTGCACCATACAGAGGCCACATACGACATATTTTTTTTTTACAAAATCTACAAACTTGTGCCGTTACTGGAAACGCGAAGAGATCCTCAAAACGAATCATCTTTATGCGATGCAAGTGCGTTTTCAAAAGCGCACGATCATGACGAATAACGCATGAAATACCGCCTGCGTGATCAAGCGAGTAGTAAGCTGTAAAGCGAATCTTAAAAGCAGCGGAACCTTAAGAAGCGATTGAAAGCACAGTTGTTATGCTATATACGCAGCGTTCAACGACGCGAATATCAATATAAAAACGTACGCAATGTTTAGTAATATTTAATCCTTTATACATTCATCTGATATTTATGGTAACTCCGTTTAACGTTTGAAGATACGTGGCCATGGGACATACGTTTTTCAGCAATAAAATTTAACCAGCAACATAAATGCCAAGAAATTATACGAAATAATGAGATAATACATGAACGGAAACTCTCTTGATATTTAATACTCGACAGATCAGTAATTAAAATCATATATGCATTTATTGCAAAGAATTTATAAACTCACGTCGTGACTACGGATATTCAAGAATAGGGTATTAAATTTTCGATCGGTTTAAATTCTCAACACTACAGCATCGAATACGAAGATCACTTTCACAAGTCTATAGCATCAAAATCTAGACACGCCAAAATTATAATACAACGGTTTTGATTCGAAATACTATCAACAGTACTACTTGTCACTCAATACAAAACGAATGACAAATAATCACCTGGCAACATAAAAACAGATAATAGAAAAACTAAAGCCAATGTAAAATAATGTAAAAACAAACAGCGGATGGGTGTGTAAACAACTGTAATCTCACATTGTAAAAATGTATCCAGCTCTCGTCGTGAGCGCGTTAAAAAAAATTTGATTTCCAGTGCCGATTTCCGGTCCGGCGCGGCGGCACGAGACCGCGAAAGAATCTACTATGTCTCTACTACTCTACTACGGTGTGTCTCTACGAATCGGGCAAAAGGAACAGCATACGAGCACACTTCGCCATAATCCGTTCTCTCGTTTCACTCTCGTGTTTTTGATTACGTACCTTGCAGAGCGGAGTGCCGTCTTTGCGGTGGCGGTGGGCTGCCGCCCGCTTCCACGCTGCTCCCGCTGTGGCTGTCCAACTGAGTGCTATGACCACTGTCACTGCTCGTCACCGAACCTACGCACAGGTTCCCAAGACACTTCTATCACTACACACGTACTAACCGAGAGATTACGCCCTGACGCAATCGCTAAACGATCCTATTGTCTAGTCGCGACGCTCATTCGCCTCATTCGTAATCCGTATCTTTTTGTTCTAGAGCTAGAATAAACTGTCTCACAAAGAGAGTCGGCACGAGAACCTAAGCTGATCACTTTGCCACACTTCAATTGCACGTCTCTCGCACGTTCCTATCTATCTATCTCTTTCCTGCCGTCTATAAACATTTATATTCTATCATTAGCAGAGCGTAATCAACAAGTATATCTTATGTGCGCAATTGTACGCCGCATTAAAGTTGTAATCGATGATATTTATTGATCCTCTATACGACATTCAGAAATCAGATTGTGCTCATTTAAATGTTTAATTTAACGTTCAAATTAGACTACGGCTGGACAAATTATTATTTTTTCCAATAAAATTTACGAATTAAAATTTTCAGAATTTATTGACGAGTTTATCTACTTCGCAAGAGCAGCGCTGTAGCTACCGATTTCATTAAGATACGACTCCGTATGTCCCATGGTATGAGAACTCCGAGTCGAAGCCGCAATTCGTTCTGGAGTTAGGTACGAGGCGCGACGTCGTGACGTCTGATCGAAAAGAAAAGCTCGCGCTATAGTAATCGGCATACAAGATGCGTGTGTGAGTGTCGTGTATATATGGATCAACTAAATAACATGGAACATTTATGAATTGCGTAAACGGCTGTGCAGCGTGCATAATAATGAGACTCCTTGTTGCGAGACCTGACCAGTGTATGTAACGAGCAATGAAAGTGCGTGATGGTGCTTCGCGAGATGCGTGTCTACTAAGTCAATATTTATAATCGATTAACAATCTATCAGTCTGTCAGTACGATCTAGAAATATATAAACAAAAAGCTATTAAAAGTACCGCAAAATAAAATAACTTGAAGATCCATTTAGATGAAATAATCCGTCTAATTGTAAGTATGTCTTTAGAAAAACCTAGAGAAGAACGTATCACTGTACCGGACAGCATCTCGCTTCAAACCATTTCATAAAGAAAAAAATTGTACTCACCGCTTGTTAAGGTTTTCCTCAGCGGCTGGAGATTGCTCAAGCTAGTTACACTACTGCTCTCCGCACTGAGATCGACAGGCGGCGGTAGGCTGGCAGGAGTATCGCTGTGGGATCGTTCGTGCATCGGTACCCTGCTGCCGGATCCTACTCTTCTAGGTGCACCTGGACTAGGCTCCAAACCACTCGAATGCAGTACCAATCCCGGTACAGGTAACGGCGCTGGACAGTGCTTAGGTTGATATGGTCGTGTCTTGTGAGGGTCAGACAGAGCCAACATCTTCCTAACTGCTTGCGGCGACGCGGCGCCGAATTTTGTACCTGAGAGAATCCATAATTAATACAAAAATTACAAAATAAATTCTTCAGAAAAATTTATTATAACGCAGCTGTAAAGATTCACCAACCTTGTATACTCTTTCTGCCTTCACTAGTACTACTGGCGCTACTGGTAGTCGACAGAGTAGGCGACGGATGCCTTCTTCCCCGACTGCCACCCAGTGGTACCGCAGCTGCAACTGCAACGGCTCCTGCATGTGGCTCGCAATCGACAGAAAGTTGATGCAACCGTTCCTCATCGGTGATCACTTTCATGTTCGCGAGATAGGCCTTCACTCTTCGGACCATCTGTGCTTCCTCAAACATTTTCTTCGGATTTGGTGCGGCCGTGGATTTCTTTCGTCGTTTCACTGTCGCAGTTTGACCGCCTATTTGGCAGCGATAACACAAATATTACAAATACTGTATTTAGAAACCAAACCGGAGAGACAACACAAAACAACATAAGAAACTCACCTTGATTACCAGTAGTCATTTGGTTCAGAGCTACCATTGCGGAACTTGGTGGTTGCCCGCCCCTTTCCAGCATAGTGAGTAAATCATAGGGTGAGGAACACATGTTTGTCAATGTTCTCACTTCCTTCGCAATCATCCTGAGTTTTTCGAAATTTACCAGACCTTCTACTCTTGAATCATTACCAAGATGTATAAAGGTCAAGTCCTTTTTCACGACCGGATAGAAAGGTATCTAAAAAAAATAACCATTTAACTCGCTAGTAATAATTTAAAACCATCATAGTACAAGCTCGAATTATAGAAATATATAATCGATATTAAGCAGTAAACAGTAAATACAATAAAATACCAAAGTAAATGTCAATGAAAAATTATTTTGTTATAAAAAAGAATAAAACTCACTATCGGTGGTTGCGTTTGTTCAGACGCCACCAATTGCCGGTATTTACTCATGTTACGGCTGGGATCCATTAATTCTTGTAGATCGCTGAATAATCTTTGATATTTGGTTGGCAGTTTTTCCCACGAAGCTCTTAATCTCGACACTGAACCATGGCCCAAACCAGATACAATCGCGAACATGGAATTGAAATTTTTGCACTCCTTGCATTGGCCTACGCAGAAAAGTATTGTTGATATAAAATGCCTAAGAAGTAAAGTAAGGAAAAAGGTTCCAAATATATACTTACGCGCTATTTTAATAAATTGCTTTATAATCTTACTGCGCCGTACGAGATTATGTTCGGAACAAACTTCTGTTACAACCCAGAACATTTCTCTGTTGACTAGTTCTGCAAACTGACTGAGCATAGGTACACCGTACCTACTTTTCAATTCAAACAAATCATCCACATATTCCGTGGATTCAATTTGTCTGTAATAAATTACGCAAAAGTAAGCTTGTTGTTATTATCAAACATGTAATCAAATGCAAGTCATAGATGCAATTTGCAATAGACAGATTTATACATTTCATTAAGTATCGAATTACCTGAATATACTGAAGTCTTGTAGAGTCAGTTGTATTGCTACTTCCACAGCATTCAATTGCAAAAAGTGTACTTGAGATTCTCGAATGAGTTCCGGAGCTTGATCATCAGCTACTAATGTTTCAGAAATTCCGTTAGTTTTCAAGTAGTATCGAGAGCTCAATCCGATTCTTTCCGCAAGATTCTGCAATTGATCTGGCAATCTACGCTGTTTGATCATACCACCTTCGCCGACGCTCACTTCCGCCAGAGAGAAATTTGAACTACTTTCTGTTATGCCAAATTCTTGAAGTGCAAGCATCACCACCTATAAAAAGTTAATGCATCATTATATATAACCCATATATATTTTTCTTTAGTTATTTAATTTCAGCAGTATAAATTTACTTACCTCATGCGCTGTCGTTTCTTTGTGAATAAGGAGATATTTGCAGGTTTGATCTGCTTTATATACTTTGAGCACATGTTCAGGATAGTCGTTTGCCCTCAAGTCGTCGTAACAAAGCGACGTAAGATCCGGATTACTTTTCGAATGGTATAGATTAGTAGTAGTTTGCGTAAGCCCTGTTCCCGGTGGTGTATGCGGTGGCGCAAGAGGATCATCCACGTGTACACCGTCGCTGTTAAAATTAAAAAGAATCTTGGGTCAGCAAAGAATTTAGGTAGATTTAATTATTATTTGTGCAACAGGCTTTAATGCACTCACTTGATCGTGTTCTTTGGCAGTATGTTCATTTTCATAAGTGCTTTCTGTAATCGCCGTTTAGGTCCAAGAGTCATAAATCCTTTGTGTTCTTTTTTAGCATCTTTGCATGGCGATACATTGTTGTCTGGAATTAATAACGGTACTCCACCAATCATGGGATTTAAGGGATTCACAGGAGTCATGGGATCCACGTGCGTTGATAGTCTAACTCGTGGATCCGACTGAAGCCTGGGTATTTCCGGCTTATTTGTTCTACCTCGAGGTCTCGGGGAATTGTCTGGCATTTGGAGCATTTCTTTAAAAACTGTAAAACCAAATAATTGAAGTTAAAGAAAGAACATTTTATTATTATTCTTCTATTTTCTGGTTTATAAATGAAACTCACCAAGCAAATTAGATTTTACAGTTATACTAAGATGCGTAGAAGCTCTCAGAATATCGAGTGCTTTCGCATGATTTACATGCTCAAAACTTTGGCCGTTCACTTCTAAAATCTGGTCGCCTCTCTTTAAACCGACATCTTCAGCCTTAGATCTCTTGTCAACTTTTGAGATAAATATACCAAAACCTCTCTCAAATCCTCCTAAAATGCTAAAATTTAAGACTTCGTCCCTGTTTGGCCTGGCTAACGTTACGTTCCGCGTTCTCGCTTTCGCCGCACATGCAATATTTAGCAACCTGAAATCAAACAATCGATTACAAATAATTATTTTCCTTAATATACTTAAATATATTTCCTTAAAAAAAAAAAAAAAAAAAAAAAAAAAAGACACACACACACAGGAGCTTACCTTTGTTGTCCTAACATTTTCTCTCTTTCCAGTCCAGTTTCGAATGCTTCTAAAAATTCCATCATCGCTGGATCAGTTTCAAAATCGGTAAAATGATTGTTCACCCATAAGAGCACGACGCGAGCAACGCGATCTCGCACTTGCGCCTGATCAAACCACTCCAGCAATTGACTTGCGACTAACAACGGACTATCAATAAACGTTCGATGAGTCAATAAGAAATCTTCCACATAAGTAGGATCCGTAATACTGTTTTCTTCAATGAGCTGTAACATCAAACGCTCTGGCGTTCCCCGAATCACCACGTGACCTCTTCGAGCTGCGCCATCCAAAGCTCCTCGCAATTCAGTCACCAGAATCACTCTTCCATTCTCTTCGTGTCTCTTGGTATTCACTTCTCCTTGATGTTGTATTCGAAAGTAATCTGCTTGCGTTACGCAAACAAATTGGCAATCGTCGCACCTGCAGATAGAAAACCACATTTTTTTTCTTTCCTATATTGCTAGAAAGGCATCGTGGCCTATACAGAAGTAGGGAAGAATCATATTACGAACTTTGTTCTCATAACTCCACGATGTAATAGCCTCTCCATAGTAGGCAAAATTCCAAAGCTATCTCCGAGACCGAGTTGTTCAATCTCGCCATTGCTGTGCTCAATCTCAACAGCGCCGTTGATCAGCACGCTCCAACTGTCGAGTTCCTCGCCATCGTTTAAGACCACCATCCCGGCACGATCGACCACCGCAAATACCATTACAGCGCACAGCGCTCTTCTGACAGCCAAAGTCATGTTTGTGAAAGCTTTCAGTTGTTGCGTGAACTCCAAAAGCGTCTCTATGTCATCCTCCGTTCTCTCAACAGGATCCTTTTCTAAACATTCTCGTACAGGATCGCGCACCGTTAAACTCTAAAATATCACAATAGTAGAAATTAGAATCTCATCTAACGCACCTCTAGGGGACAGCAAGATAAATCATGATACTTACATCCATGCTCTCTGCCAGATCCTCCTCCTCATCGCTATCAACAATAGATTCCACAAGACCTGACAGATCCACTTCATCAGGATCCGCGTCTAACGAACTTTGTACAGATGTCATGGTGTCGGATCCACTGTATGCTGAACTTGTGTCACTCGAATGGCTACTTCTATTTGATTTCTGATACAGCTCCGGCCTGCTTGTAAGGCCCTGTGAGAACTACAAAGAAAACATTTTATCAGCTTGTTTTTTTTATGTTATTTCTAAATTTCTTAAAGTTTATGTATATAATTTTTTTCTAGATGTTGTCTCGATCTATAAATTGCCTTTACACATTACTACAATAGTAAGAAGTATTTCATATCTTTCCTATATAAAATAGTTGAATAAACTCTATATTCTACATCTTCCCGATACTGAGTTACGTACGTATTTATTATAGAAAACTGTATAAATCAATAAAATTTTGATATAAGATGTAACGTATCCAAAAGATTTGCCATAAAATATAAATTCTAATCTCTATTATATATTATACCATATAAAAAATTACATAAGTATATAATAGGTACATATAATACTATATTTAAAAGAGATGATTAAAGTTGGCAATAGAGTAAAGAGAAACAAGACTTGAGTAACATTATATTGATAAGAAATTCATCTGTCACTTACACAAGCATGTTCAGATAAGTTATACAAATTAAAAAAATATATTGATGTAAAATATAACATAATAACAATAATTTAACATCTGTCCCAGCTAATCTAGCTCTTCTCTGGATCATCAATCTAACAACTGCGATAACAATAACAGTGCATGTTCAAGAATTAACTATCCACTATCCAGAACGATGTCCGCAAGGATCAATCTAGGAAAACTGCAACGCTGTTCCTGAGCATCAGTGACAACCTCCTATACCCGCATAGACCTAGGCAAGGGACAAAAACATCAACGACGACGCCGCTCGTTCGCTAGTAGCGAAGTAGGAAATACCAGGAATGGGCGTGATTGGGACAGGCTCTGGTTCGCGGTTAGGTTAGGTCACAGAGACATGACATCACGCACGCACGCACGCACGCCATGTATGTATGTATGCGGACCGTGCATCAGGGCATCGGGGTGCGGGTGTGCTTCTCGTGCGCGTACCCACATGCATATTCGTCATCCAAACAAGATACCTACGACGACTGTTGTCATGTCATCGCGAGGGGAGGCCGCGGGTCGCGCGTACGCCATACGCTCCGCGCTCTCGAGAGCTCGCTTTCCCGTCGGATCGGAGCTCGACAGCTCGGTGAGCTCGGAGCCCTCGGAGCTCGAGCGCCCGCGAGTCGCGAGAGAGGGAGACGAAGAGAGCGAAGGAGAGCCAAGGCCATTTTGAGTATATCTCCGAGAGGAGAGGCACTCACTTGATACACGCCGAACGCGTCCATCGCGTCAGCGGAACCCGCGATTCTCGTTGTTGTTGTTGTTATTGCTGTTCTCGTCTTCCTCCTCGGCGGAGACAATCACGACTCACGACAAATCCGAGGAATCGTCCGCATTTTCCTACGCGCTTTATCCGCCTCGTCCGGTCGTTTTTCTCTCACTGGCGTGCCGCGTGCGCAACGCAACGCGCGTGGAAGCGGACGCGCCGCGGCGTGACCCTCTTTCTACTGCTTAGCACGAAACTCGTGATTCGTGATGCGTCCGACAATGCGACAACTGCGACAGTCCGTCCGTCCGTCTGTCCGTCTGTTGTCGTCGCCGTCGTCGCGGCTCGCGGCCGGTCATCAGCTTGGCGAACGTAGGACTGCCTCGTCTCGTCCCGCTGTCACCCGCACCGCGCACCGTGTCCCGCGTCCCGCTCCCGCTCCCGCTCCCGCTACCCACGTAGTGCCGTGCCGTGCCGTTGGCATTCCCTTCGGATCGCAGCGTAGTCACGTGACCCGCCAGTCCTCAGCTCAGGTCCGTGTCAACGGGGGGAGCGCGTATCACGTCGCGGTCGGCCGACGAGAGAGGGGGAAATGCCGGGCCACCTGTAGCTTCAACGCGCGATTTCGTTTCTTTTTCTTTTTTCTCTTTTTTTCCTTTTTTTTTTAAGGAATTTGATGTGGATCTCTTGATCGTTTTGTTCGTGAACATACTCGAACATACTCGATTACAAGCGCGATCGAAGCTGTGAAATTAAATCTGATTCCTAACAATTCGATACCAAATACCAAATTGGCGCACACAACTTGAGGTTTATGAGACACATAAAACATTCAAATTTTATTATTATTATTTTTAATTATATATATTCGCTTTTTCTATAAATCTATGATCACACACGTTGGAGTTTACTATATAAAATAATTTTTTACAATATATGTATAAAATCTATCTTATATATGATTTCAATAAAAGTTTAAGATGTGCGAAAAATAAAATAAAATATATTTCATATACAGAATCATTTAATAAAATAAATCAAAGCAGACCAAAGGAAGAATGTTGTAAAATGGAGTTAATATTAACATCCATATATTAAAAATTGTTTTGATATATCACTGGGAAATTAAATTTTGTTCCCCACATAAGGTCGAAACGATGGCTGGTAGTTTAATGAAATTTTCTTGTCCGTATTGTGCATGGGGGATTAAATTAAATTTCGTTACACTGAATACATACACACGTATCTAGAGTATATCCAGTATCAGTACCTATAATTTCATAGTAGCTCGTAAACGCGGCACGGATTTGCATCTTTATAATCTTAATATTTACATGCAGGCTATGCAGCTGTTATATGAAGATTATGAAGACGCATTCTATCTCGTTAACGTAATATATAAAGCTATTGTTGCAAAATTGACCTCACTATAACAGTTGCGGTACGCAAATGAAATTTCAGAGAAAAATGAAAAACAAAATGAAAATTACGTAATAATCTAAATAATTTACCAATGCTATAATTAGATGTATAAGTACATATATATGTTGGGAGAAAAGGATTAAATGTAATTTGCATACAACGGGGAAGAGAATTTAATTAACGTTTGATTCGTGTGGGAGATGGTTACTTGACAGGAGTTGGAAGTGATTTGACGAAAGATGAATGATTATAAATAAAATGGTTCACTTTACATGAAAGAAGAGTAAAGGTTGTGACGTATAAAACTCTCTCCCACGTTTAAATTTTTTTTTTAATTATGCATGTATATCATATTAAGCTGACGCAAAACCCATCACAACTCGTTAAACCCTATCTTGTTTTTTAATTAAATAATGAGATTACTTGGTCATGTGTTTAAAAGCTTGAAAATTCAAATTACAATTAACAAAACTCCAGTTTCAAATCTTTCAAATCTCGCTGATAGATGATGGCATAACATTCGAAAAACAGAAATGGAAAATAAAAGATATTTAATTAACTTGACGATAATTACTTCGGATGTATAGATATTCAATAAATAATAATTATGATAAGACATGACAAAAATAACCGCGATTAAAAATACGATAATGCTTGATACGTAATACGTAATGTAACCTACTTCGATTTGTATACCCACGCGAATGTCAGCGCCCGATGCAATGTCATAAGAATATTGCAAAAATGCAAAACACGCTCGAGAAACTGATCGAGAAAGAACGCGCCGATGATCTCGCGATTAATATTCATCAACCTTCGCGATTAGTTAATCGCCATGCGGAACAATAAACAAACAATGACGTAAATTGACGCCAATAACGACACTTGAATTGATCTAAGAGGCCTCTCTATAGAAAGTCACTGTTGGGCGATCGTGTGAAATGAGCTTAAGGAGTCGACGGACGGTCGATCGAGCCGCAAAGGAGCGAGCGAGGAAGAGAGGAGAAGGAGATGAGGATGTAGGCGAATGAGGATAGAGAAGCGCCGCTGCTGCTGCTGCTGTTGCTGCTGGTCCGCTCAAAGCATCCATCCAGCAATGGATAGTAACCGCTCAAAGGCCACTGTCCGACTCGACGGATGATTTATACGACCCGTTATGTCGTTCGTACCAGTGTATCTCACTTTTCCTTTTGTCCCGAGCCACACACTACTTTCCAAATTGCTTCTCCCATTCAACTTCTTGCCCGCCGCCGCGCCGCCACGCCGGAAGGACGGCTCTGCAGGTACTCTGCCACACGCGTTCGATACCAAACTGACATCAAATCCTGATTACCAAAATTGTTCGTTTGAGCGTTTGACTATTTACATATAGACGAACTGATATCGTCATAGTTTATATCCGGTATTGATTTTGATAAATACAATTGTATCATTCCTCAATCAAGAAAAGGACTATGCGTCATACATGATTATGAATGTATATAGATTTAGAAAAAAGAAAACTTCCGCAGGCCTTCTTATTAGATTTCAAAGACTCATTACAAACATTTTATAATCGCAACAGATAATTTATCGTAGCAATTACTCAAATAATTTTTACTTGACGTCCTATCCTATAACGATTAAATACCTAGATAAGAACGAAAAGATAGGACATTTTCATAACGATCTGTGGACCCAAGAAAAACGGATGGAATAATAGAAAAAGAAGCCATATACAATCATGAATGTTTTGAGAAGAGTGATTTATGAGAAGCCAACGGAGTTTCCTTGAAGAAAAAGGGTTTTCTCGTCTTCGAATTTCGATTCAAGGTCGGAACAACATTAGACATTATTTGCTCAGATGAATAGGAGAAGAAATAGTCATATACGAGTGATCATGACTATAAGATTGCCATAAATAAGTAAAAAATAGAGATATATTTACCGTGTCCTCGAAGACCAAGTTGACCTGGCGGGGGTCGGTTATGGGATGAGGGTGCGGTGGTCGATGCATCCTCCCCCCGCTATGAACTTCCGGGTAGTCGATCTGCAAAAGACATGTCAGTTTATAAGTTAACAAATGAACTATGAATAAATTATGTACAGCGCGCACAATCTATTGATCTTGATCAATAAGTGATTATGCCGCGCAAATGCTTATAATAAACCGTTTGAACAATCATCGAAGAATGATAACCTAATTGTCAATTTGCAAGCGTAACTTGATAATTGTGGTCATTCAATACAACCATAACCGAGATAGATAAGTATATTCAAAGATGTTACTAGTATTTTCATCTATTTTATTACTTTAGTATTCAATCGAGTATTCAATCTTCCCTAATGAAAATTTCATTGCAAATCATCTTATTCAACTTAAACAGTCTTCCAATCTTCACTAAATGTTTCTATAACATGACCATAAAAGTAAAATTACATTGAAGAATAATCCACTTGAGGTTAATTAAACAAGTTTTAGGTATCACTTCTGCTCCCGAGATTTTATTCACCACAATTTTTTCATTCCCTCAATTATCCGCGAAGAACCTATTAATATTGCTATGATTTTGTTAAAAAAAGCTCCGTCGCTTTCGTTAATCAGGAAAAAGCTTTAATCAGGAAATGATATAACATTTCTAGAAAATGCTGTACATTATGTTATTCCTTGCAAGCATAATCGTAATGAAATCGGTCAATCATAAGATAACTGCTACTGCATTTTTTACATACAATGCGTCAATCTTACTTGATTATTACTTTTAATCTGACTCATGGCATACGCATATACGGCTGTCTAGAACAGCTGATAAAGTATAAATCGCGATTTATATAAAGATAATAATAAATAAATTCCACACGCAATATAGGGCGCCTAATATCTCTACGGACGCGCGCTGATAATCTAATTTGCGGATGCGCTGAGTGCTGCAGCTGCCTTATTTCACTGCTCTGTTTAATGTACTGCTCTGTGCAGTACATTAAAAAGTCGCCATGACCTAATATACATATATATATGTATATAAATGTCAAGAAAGTTTATCGTTTTTCGCCACTTTTGCACCTACTTTCAATCAGATATCTTCGTAATAAAATCTTGAAGTCTTTAAAAGTAAAATCTATACTATATATGTATACATTGGACTACAGAATAGTTTTATTAATCTAAAATTGTCCTCATATAAGTAGTTTATATCCAAAAACCAAATAAAACTTAGATACAATCTACCCTAAATATAATATTTTCTCCGTGATAACATAAAAAATGGATATATTTAAGACGTGACAGATAATAATATTTATACTAATAATTAAAGGTGTAATATCGTTCTCGTAGATCAACATCATAAATATATAATTAAAAATAAAATTTACCAGATATCTGATAAATAGAAAATAAGTAGACTAATTATAAGACTATATTTGATATTATGCACAATAACCTGCAATGTTAAATTAGCCTAGATTTTATGAGATAATAAATATAGAAAATAATGTGCGCTAATTCAAATTGGAAAATTTTATGACAGTATTACTGAGCATATCTATCAATATATTTTTCAAATTTCTTGAAGAAAAATGCAAGAAAAGTAATAATTGTTCTAATTAATCATACATTTCATAAGTTTGTTATGAGAGAGCTGCTGCTATTAATTAGATATTACATTATTATCGAATACTTGTCACTTGAAGCTTTTAATTATCAACCGGTTACGACAATGTCAGCTGCTTTTTATCCTTCGCGACAGTCTCTTTTTCGGTTGACAGGCAACAGCATTCGTTGCTGAACAGCAACGAAAAAAAAAAGGATGAAAGAGACAATGAGACGAATGCGCTTCGGGCCGGAACTCGTAGGCCGGACTTCCGGTAGATATGCTGGTTATACGTTCCATTCACGGAACCGCTCCCTCATATGACTCGATTGTTACAATGAATGTTTAGCCAATTTCGTTTCGGGATGAAAGTTCAGTTTACATAGGCGATCGATCGATCGAGCGACATGACGCGACGTTCTAATTCGACATTTTGTATCGTGTACCTATATCGTCGCGACGCAAATTATAATCCGACGTACTGTGTTGTTCGTCATATCGTATGAAAAGTGATATAACGCGTTACTTGCGCATTTTTTCCAATGATTCAAACATATTTATTTTGCCCCACGGTATCATTAAACAAATTGCAAACTAATCCCAACATTATGTCAGCATTAACAACGTCAACATTATAAGGGTTCTCGTACAATAGCTAACCAATTAGCGCATTTTGCAATCATAGTCTCTCCTCTCCTCTCTTTGCTTAATAATGCTTGCTACTAAAAGCACGCGTGATTTTCATAATCAGCAATCAAAAGCGTAACGCAATCGTGACGCAATGTATAAACGAACGAATGCGAAATATGCATGTGTTTTTGATGTAACGATTGAATTGTAAACAATTATCGCATATTAGGTACGAATGCAAAACAATGGCAAATTAAGCAAAAATGTTTTACGATGCGTTTAATTACGCCGCATTCAGCGCGTGTCCGAAAAATATATGACCGTGTTTCCATTGAATTTCACTTACTCAAACCGTATTAATTAATAGCTCCAGTACAAATATATCTATGTCTCTTTCATAGCATAACAATTAAAGATATGTATTAAATGCATAATAACAGCAAAAAATTTAAACGTCAAATTAAAGATGTAATCAATGTTTTGTTAAGAATAAAATCCTTATAAAGAAAGAACAATATTAAAAAAAAATGAATTCTCCCTGTAGTCGAACTGACATTTTATTCTTTAATAATTCCGAGAAAATAAAATAATCATTTATTTATATAATAAGTTCAAAATTCTATAGAGAGATGGTTAACTAACCATTCATAAAAATTATTAATGAAACGAACGACACATCTTTGATGAATGATGATTAATACTGATTGTGAGACAAAGCACAGAATGAAATAAGATTTCAAGATGTAAAAACATCATTTGCTTCCATTCTTTGCGAGCGGTTAACTATGGTTAAAGGAGAAATACTCTCTCAATTATACGCTCTCATTCATTCCGTTTGTCGGTCTCTTACATTGTGCGCTCAATCTCTGCGTGGGACCTTCGACCCGCGTGCGTAGGCGACATACGTCCCTGTGTATACAAATGTTATATATACAAACGCGTATACTTATACAAATGTACAAAAATCATACAAAATGTACGATCGCGAGATGTCAATGCGTTAGCCTCCTCGTTGTTCTTTACGTCAATTTCGATCCGAACGTTAATGACCTCGTTCATTAGATACAATCGCTCGTATCGCCCCATACACAAGGTTATCAACCAAGAGGAATAGACGCCCTGAATCAAGATAGCAGGATGTAATCGAAACTTGATATGAAATAAACGACTGTTTCCTCAACGGAAGAAGATAAAACTAGCGATTAAAATCATTACGAAAGATAAAAGATCGCGCGCTCTATCCGCAGCGGATGTTTAGCGTGAAATGTTGAAAGAAATATCTGGTCTATTTTATTTTACACACTTTTGTGTATGGTTCAAATTCTGTGCATGCTACATAAATTATAATAATCTAAATTGAATTAGAAGAAAATTATACGTAGTAAAAATGAGAAAATAAATGTTTCTAGTAATATAAAAGTCAAAATCGTGTAATAAATTCGCTTTTAAAACTCAATTTTAGTTCGAATATTTCTTACCAAAAAGTGATCTAAAATAAAAGCATGTTTTCATTAATCAGCGCAATTTTCGCGCAAATATATTTATTCTTAAATTTCAAAGTAAATATATCAACGAGTTATGAAAACAACTTTCATCACATAATTTCACATCTCGTAATGTAATGGATTAACTTTTCAAAGACTCTCAGATGAGATGGGCCTTTTTACCTCGGATGACACGATCGATAGAGTTCTCGGTGTGCCAGGCCAGCTTCTGGACAACGAACGTCCTTTTCGTTTTCTTACGACGATCCGAGGTCGTCCAGTCCTGCTCGTATATTTCAACATCGCGAATAATCAACTCGGATAATTTAGTCGGAATTACAGGACGTCTGATTGCGCACCACATCCACGTGATTCCTTCACTGTCATCACTACGCGAATCGATCTACGGACGTTCACCGTGTCAACAAGCCGATCAACCATGTGCTACGAGATTCAATGTCTCGATAAGTATCTGTTTTTCAAAAATTTGCCAATGTATTCAACAATTCACTGTTACGTTTTCACGTTAATCATCAGACAACACTTTGTAAACTTCGTTGCCGCACAAAAATTGAACATTTTACCGCAAACGTCAAACGATATCTCGCATAAACGACTGAGATTTACGAGAGCGCGATGGTAACTAACGTAAATGCCTTCATCTATGTGTAATCGCGGCGATTCTATCGTTTCACGGGCAGGACCTTGCAAACTTAATAATCTCGAGGTCGACGTCGACGGAATTGGCCTCCATAAAATTGTTAATGCGATTATCCTGCTTGGATCGTGTTTCGCGTTCGACGTACGCGCACTCTCACATATATCGCGTCTCGTGGAGAACTGAATCGCACATCGCGCACGATTCTTGAAGAGGGCCAAAGACCGACCTGCTGCGGTCACGTGATTTACGCGCTCAGGAACGTAGAAAGGCTTATCGTATGTCGCAACCTTATAATTTTCTTGTCGACGCCGGAAATTCTGATATGAAATTAATGGAGAATAAAAAATTTTATTCTAAATAACTCATGGTCGTATATGAAGAACTTGATTACTTATGTCGGAACGGGTATTAAAGTCTAAGTCTAAAAGATAAAGAGATAATAATTTAATTAATGAATTAATTGAATATACAGTTGACGTTTAATGTATCTATATAAAAAATGAAATTGTAGCTTTTTACAAAGTATGTCTTATTATCATATTTGTAGAAACTCGATAAATAATGAGATTTATTATTCTTAGTTCTTTCATATGTTAATCTTATAGATTTAATTATACTAAAATATTCCTTTAGGTAACGTTGACAGCTCTCTTTCGTGACATATTAGAAAAAAATTACGTTC